TTTACCCATGGAGCTGCAAACTGTTTTGTGTTGTCCACTTCTTCCATACATCAATGTTTTTCCTCATGGTTCCATCTCCACTGCAACAGAGGTCAAACAGATTTGTATTATTTGTGTGTAAGACTCTTTCCATATCAAAGTCATTTGCAGCAGCACAACAACAGCAATCCCTCTCCCTTGTAACTAGTTCTCCTACACTGTGCTGTTTTGTTTCCTCACTGCCTTTGTATTTCAGTGTCCTGAACATAAGGTCAAAATTTGAAGCCCTTCAACTGATCAAATTTAAGGACCACTTGGAATGAAGAAATTCACACCAATTCTGTATCCCCACACTTAAAAAGCATTCCAAACTATACATCCTAACTCACTAATCTACTTAAAAGGCACAATTGAATAACATAAAATATTTAGCATTACACTTAAAGCAGTAAAATCCATGTATTCAAGTTCACATGCAAGGTACCTGCAGGGGACATCACATAAAATCCTGTCATAGAAGAGGATCTCTTTTCTTCCATCAATGTCTATTTGAAGGTTAGGAATGCTGGAGGCATCATGATTTACCACCATGATGCATGGACTATTTAATCTCTTAGCCTGATGAACCAGCAAATAGCAGCGCTTGTTGTCAACGTCATTGGCAATTACAAAACCACCTGGGAACATAAAATAGTGGGAAAATGCTTTACTATTCAACAGATAAATAATTTTACATAGTTTATTACCCTGTCTCTGAGAGTTCTGTAAACCTTTCACAAGATTTTTACTTAAAAGACTCATGAATAGGGGAGCCCTTACTGAGCATAACTTAAAGCATATTGCAGGTTAACTGATGTGTCAGTCTCAAGAGTTTTAGCTCCCATCCTGTGGCAGTAAGACACAGCCAAGGCTCCTTCAACTTCTCAAAGAAAAATCTCTAAAACAGAAAAAAACCCCACTGTCACCAAAGACAATCTCTACACCAGCAAAGTTTCAGTACAATGCTGAAAGAATCCACACATTCTCTACAACTTTACAGTGTCAGGGGGCAGTATCTTCTGTGAGCATCTAAACAAAAATAAAGACTCTGAAGTTTACAAAAATGATAAATATCATGATTTCTTTAAGTCTAAAGCAGCTTAATCCAGTGTTTGCAGGATACCATGAAAGCACAGAGGCTCATGAGCTACCATCTACTAAGTAAACCTGATTTATGTACAGAAATTAAACTCTAATCACATGTACTGTAGTTTGAACGGAAAAGATACATATAATTCATGTCTGTTTTTCAAGCAAAGGAAGTCCATGAAGTTTCAAATGGGTGCCTTTAATCTCATAACAACCCCTTGGGGAATTCAGTATGTAGTAAAATGCAGTTCCTCATCTGTGACATTAAAAACAATCTACTACAAGAAAAAGCAGAAATTTCAAGTCACAAGTATTTAGTTTTCCAGACTTACTGGGAAAGGGAACATTCATGTCTGCATGCAACATTTCAATGAGCTGTGCAGTCTTAGATCCAGGAGCAGCACACATATCTAGAATCTACAAATATAAGAAAATTTTTCAAATTCCTGCCTTGTACTTTTTCAGTACTTGAGAAATTTACTATGTTCTTGTTTAAATTAAGTATTTTTGAATATGTAGAATTATGACTGTTCTGAACACCAATTTGAAAAAAACAAAGTACAAAAAATGATGAAGAATATACAAGGCTAAATATACTCTAAAACTAAACATACTCTAAAACTGTCCAGTAAACTGATGGTGGGGGTAAATTAAATGGGAAAAATAGATTAAAAATGAAATGGAAATTAATATTATCCTTGTGGAACACTGAATCAGCGTGTTAGACGTGACATACAGAACATGCTAGCTAAGCAAAAGTAACCTGCAATTCTGGTCCTAACAAGCAGCTCCTAAACTAAGGCACTAAGGACCACGAAAGGCCCTAAAAGACAAGTCAGGGCATCATTATATCATTAAACATTTGCTGTTTTGGCACAAGAGAGACAAAAACCTATTCTTAGCCTGATTTATGAAATCTTACATGCGTTTTTGGAAAACACTGCAACACTCACCCAAATTAAACATTCAACATAAAGCCTTTATACTGCTGGCTTATCATATACAATGTAAGGTGTGTGCAAAAATATCCCCACAATTTGTGTTTTACGTTAAGATGAATGTGTTCACCACCTGTTCAATCCCAGACAGAAATAAAAATACACCTGGGACACATCAGGACCAAGATTTCAATTTACTATTCACTTAAAAGAGATGAATAGATCTTGCCTCACATAAAACAGCCATAGATGTCATACACTGGGTTGGGGTGAAAAGTAGGAGGAAAAAGGTGAAAAGTTACAGATGCTAAGTACAGCTGATATAAAAACAATTGTGTACAAACTAGTCTTTAAAACACATGTTAGAAGTTTGATAAACATAAAAATTTAAGATACAGCATGAAAATTTAAGAAAGAAGAACACAGCATGGCTGCTTGAGATGGCAAGGCAACTAGCTCGTTAATTTAACAGATTAAGAGAGTGAGGCTGCCTGACAGATTCAGTCAGCAAACAAGCACAGAGTATGAAAACATCACCAAGTTAGAGCAGAAAGTTTGCTACCAGATATCTTCATTCCTATGGCATGCCCTAAGAAAATACCATGGGCACTCCTTACACACTACAGTTAAAGTTAGCACCCTGTAGTGTTTAGCCACCACCAACAGCATGTTTCAGCTCGCCCAAAATATTTCATCTAACAGATTATTTATAGAGCAGAATTTTTCAGCTCCTTCAAAAGGCATAGAGGAGTGAAATCTATGAGGTAGGGAATATTATCACTTGCATCTTGAAAACTGTATCTGTTCACAGTGTGACGGAGAGAGGAAGTTAAAAACAGTCATCTTACTTTAAAAGCAGGTTGCAGCAAGAATACATAACTCAGATGTAGCTAAACACACTTACACTTTGGAAATAAGACTATCCAACTGCATAAAATCTAAGTGCTCCTTTCAGGGTATTACACACAGCTGAAAAAGGAGATGCTCCTCTGATAGTGTTTTTGTGATCTGAACATTAGTTCAGTGTTGCTGTTGATGTGCAGAAAGCATGAAATGTACCAACACAAAACAGAACCGAGTATCAGCCATGATACTGCTCTTGTGATTTGTAGCTCAGTTAAGCTAATTTCAGGGAACAAACTTTAGCACACATTATATTCTAGACTTACCTTATGATGAGGGCTAACATTAAGCAGCAGAGGTGGGATCATACTAACAGCCTCCTGACGACTGATGTTTCCCTTGAAAGGAAAAAATAAATTCAATTTGTTTTTATTCCATGAAAGAACGCATTTCTTCTGCAATAAAACTTTCAAATTGTTATGTATTAAAATAACAAAGCAGTCAGAAACACACTACTATAAACTTAGGACTAAATACTGCTAGAATTTAACAAAAGAAAAAAAAATCACAGTATCTCACCCAACTGTAATTTCTAATAATTGCATATTTGCTCCAATTGTATTAATTCTGCAGTTTCTGCTCAAAAGAGAGGAGAAACTGGCTCGAATCAAGTAACAAACATCCATCATTTAAGTGCTGTCATGCCCATACATGCACTTTCTACCAGGTTTAAACATTTGGTTTCTAACAGCAACTGATCATTTTGCAGGGACTCATTTTAACATCCCCAACAACAGCAAAAAAATGCAATTAGTTTAGGCAAATATTTGTAGCTGCAGTTATGCACCAGAATCATTGGATGCACCACTGCCAACTGCACCACAAAATGCAGATTCTTCTGAGCTATTCAATGTCTGAGAGAAAAAGTAGAGTCTCCATCTTTCATGGTGTATTTCAATAAAGCATTGCTCAGGATATGCCGGAAAAAAAATCAAGATCTATCCAAAACTTACACATTCTGTCTCGCTAACCAGAAACTGATGAAACTTTTCCAGTTGTGGGGACTTGCGTAAGATTTTTCTACTCAGATTAGTGTGCCACGCTAACTCTTCAGGATACCTGGTGGAAAAGAGATGGGAAAAGAACAGAGGCAGAAGAAATAGACGGATGAGCCAGGCTGGTTGATGGGAACATGCAGAATGTCTAATCTCGCCTCCAGATCACTCACCAGCTCAGCGACTGCGGCATCTCGACCTTTTGGCCGTCCACCTCCAGGTCCCGCAGCTCTCGGAAGTACTTTTCCTTCAAGCAGTGGAGAATCTCTCTGGCGTGGCTGCATGGAGAGACACGGGAGGGACACCGGATGGAGAATCACAGAATCACAGCACGGCCCGGGCTGGAAGGAGCCCCAAGGCCGGCGCAGTTCCACCCCCCTGCCGCGGCTGGGACACGTCCCCGTGTGCCGGCGGCTCCGGGAGCGCCAGCCGTACCTGCGGTAGCCGGTGATGCGCAGCGTGGCGGGCAGCGGCTCCCGCAGCGCCGCCATGAACGCGTCCCACTCTCCGGCGGGCACGATGCCCAGCTCCCGGTAGTACCGCTCGAACAGCTCGTTCTCCTTCACGATCTCGGGGTAGCCGCCGGCCCAGCCCTGACGAAAAGCATCGCCGCCGTCAGCCCGGCGGCCCCGGCGCTCCCCGCCCCGCTTCACCTCCCCCGGCCCGGCTCTCACCGCCTGGTCCCCACCGCCGCCGCCGCCACCCCGCTCCTGCCGCTGCTGCTGCTGCTGCTGCCGCCGGCGGTCCCGCGCCCTGCGGCCCATGGCAGCCAGGCGGCGGCCGAGCCGCGCCACCAGCCCCGCCGTCAGGAAGAGCGGCCGCTCCCGCCCCGCTCCCGCTCCCGGCCGGCCGGAGGGACCGCGCGGCGGCCGCGTGCTCCCGGCGCGCACGCGCGGACCCGCCTTCTCCCGGCGCCGCTTCCCGGCGGAACTTCCCGAGCGCCCGGCCCGGCCCGGCGCGGCCCCACCCACAACGGGCGGGCGGGGGCGGGGCGGGGCGGCGGGCACGCCCCCGGCGGCCACTGGCGGTGCCAGATGAACCGAGGCGGCGGAGCGCGATGGGCTCTGCCGGCGGCGGCGGCGTGTGCGCGCTGTGGCGCCGGGCCGAGGGCCCCGAGGAGCGGCGACTGCTGGAGCTCTTCTCCTACGGGCTGATGGCGCTGGGCGCCGTCTCCTCCCTGCTGCTCCGCTTCATCCCCATGCCCTACGGCCGGTACTCCTCGCGGCGCTTCGGCTGGCTGCTGCCCGCCCGCCCCGCCTGGGTGCTGCAGGAGCTGCCCTCGCTCCTCGTCCCGCTCGGGCTCGCCGCCTGCGGCGGGGCGGTCGCGGCCGCCCGGCCCAACCGCGTCCTGCTGGGCTGCTTCCTCCTGCACTACGCGCACAGGTGCGGCGGCGGGCGGGCGGGCGGCGCTGCCCGCGGGCACCGGCGGGGCTGGGGCGGATGGCGGGGGCTCCCTGCGGGCTGGGGGCAGGGGAAGGAGTCGGTCTTCATAGAGGTACCTGGCTGCTGCTTCCTGACTGAAGGGGTTGAGGTTCTGTTAACTAGCGCATGTTACTTAGTGTCATAGTTACTGACGTCTCTTCTGCTTCGCTGCACTGCGATGTGCCCTGTGTTCTTACGGCAGCCCGGCGAATTGCCGCGGCCATGCGGTGCCGGCTGCCTTGTGCGCACTGTGCGCTGCGATGCTCCGGCGATGCTCTTGGCGCTCCCTAAGCGCCCTGCTCCATCCCTGTGCTGCTCCTGCTGCTGTGCCTCCCGCTTCAGCAGTGGATTGAGCAGGCTGTCTTAAGGTCACTGTGTTACAACCAGGAAAGTTCAGCACCTTGTTCTGATATAATCTTGATGTTGCTAAACAATAGCTATTTTCTAATTATATTGTTCAACATTGTCTTTCAACATAGCGTTCGTTGCAGGAATTGGACTGGATGAGCCTTGTATGTTTCCTCCAGCTCAGTGTATTCAATGATTCATTAAAATAGTGGCAAAGCTGGGGCTGAGTGCCCTTTGTTGCCAGGTAGTCAAGAGTATTCAGGCATTTTGTAAAAATACTGGGAGAAGGCAGCTTAGTTAGAGCCCAGGTGCGATCTTGCTGTTCCCTTCAAGTTATGGACAGTAGCTACTTGTTGTACTCCACGAGTAAATTTGCCGCCAAGACAGGAGGGTTAGGTTTGTCAGGTTTATTTTAAGCCCCTTGTGTGGCTGATAAGTTATTTTCTGGTACTTATTGAGAGAAGCTCTTGCTTTTGACCAAGTGTGTTCCACAGCCTTGTTGTGGGGAGGTATATGACATATGGTTGGCCTGGAGGCTGCCTTTGAAAACCTGCAATTGTGTCTTTGCTCCCCCTTTTTCTATTCTTAAGCGTAAAGACATTAGTTTTTACATGGGATCTCAACTCATTCTTGATGTCTGGGAATAACTAGGAATGTGAGGCAATGATTTGTACAAAAAGGTGAGCTGTGCTGCAGTTTCTTTTTTTCCACTTGCTTGTTGCTGTTGCCAAACCCAAGGGACTCTTGTGTAGGTAAGTGTAGACTAGAAGAGACCTCTGTTATCTAGTTCTGTTTCTTGTGGTGTTGCATGCTTTAAATAATCCTGTAGTGAATTTATTACTCTTTCTTGAAAGCTGTTAGGGTTGGACTTCCTTTGGAAAGGTTATTTTGAAGCAGTTGTCCTTGGGTAGGTGGAAAACACATGAAGAATGCTCAGGCTTCAGTGATCCTGCTTCTGTATCATTATAGATCATAATTAAATCAATAGACAATTGGGAGTTGGCTAGTACCACAAGAAAGAGCATAAGAGTATTCACCGGCTCTTCTTGTTTGGAGCTAGTTTGTTTACTTGCATAATCCCCCAGGAAAAGCAATCAAGATTCCTTTCCCAAATGGGATGACAATTGAGGGTTTGTCACGTCTTTAGAGGTGTCATAGAGTAGACCAAGACTGTCAAGGTGAAGCAATTAATGTTTTGGCTTACAGGATGGGGAGGAAACTGAGGTCAATTAGGTTAATTTAAAGGGGATTGACTTTCCCCCTGGAAATGCTGGGGGAATTTAGTGGAGGGGTCTTGTTTCCTAGCTCATCTCAGAAAGCTTGATGATACAACTGAGAGTTTAGGGACAAAAATGGACTGTACTTAATATCAGTTGTCTTTATTCCTCTCACCAAAGTAATTGCTTTGGATGCGAAGTTCAAAATTTCTGCCATACAATAGAGAGGACTGGTTTTGTAATTCCAACTAGGCAAAAAAAAAATAAAAGAATGTTTTAGGTATTCAAGCAAGTGCAGCTATCCTTTCAGACACCAAGGGCTAGTGCTGAGAATTTGTAAAGTAGGGTAGTGTGGACAATGTTTGGACTTCAAAACTATCATTTTTGTGGTTAATACAATAAATTTTCTTTTCTTTGTTCGCTATAGGGCACTCATCTTTCCCCTTCTGATCCGAGAAGGAAAACCAACGCCGTTTTTCACTTTTGTGTTAGCGCTTCTGTTCTGTGCTTTCAACGGGTACTTGCAGGGCCGAAGCTTAACCACCTATGCAACTTACCCTGCAGGCTGGCTGGGTGGCTCGTGCTTCATTACAGGTGAGTTAAATCATGCTATGAGAACATCACGTGCCATTTTCCTCTGTCTTCATAGGTCTTAATTTTTTATTGTGATTTTATGGTATCTTCAATGCCATTTTATGAGTCTTCTCATAATTTTCTCATTGTTGTAGCTGGAGGCCTTTTAACCTGTTTTAGCCTGTGAACTGACACTTCTTTCTGCAGTGCTAGATGATCTGATTGTCGTCTTTACTCTCTAAGAGCTAAGTAAATCCAGGTCAGGTATTTTTTTTTTTTCATGTAGAAGCTTGAAGCCCTACATGGAGCCAGCAGCATGCAGGTTTAGAAAAAGCAAAGCTTTTCTGTCTAACATGTAGATTAAACTAAAGTAACAAAATCATGGAGTAAAAAAATCTAGCAAGGGTAGCTGCTAACTACTGTTCATAATGCCATGGCAAATGCTGCAAGTCCTTGGTGTCAGGATATCTACACTGGATACACACACAGGCACCAATCCAGCTGCCCTTGTAATTGGGGGGTGGCTTTGTCAAATGACAAAACTGGCCACACAAGGAAGGGGTGGAGGGGTTGATCATTCACTCCCAGTTGGGAAGTGAGGTTACATTTATACTTGAAGGATCTGATTAAAAGACTAAGGTATTTAGTGACATAGTAATTTATTTATTCAATTTTTTTGTTTCCTAGACATCTACTTTTGCCTGCTGTCAAAATGATAGTACAATTTCCTAATGAAATCTTTATAGGAAGATCATTTTCATCTGAAGATAAACCAGAATGTTTTGCCTCATCAGTCAAAGGCAGACTAGTGGGCTGTGTAACCTCTCACTGTGGAACCCTTTTATATAGTTTGTCTGTTTTGTGGACCACAATAACTTATATCTACAGCAGTAATTGATTTGGAGCAGGAATATGGTTTTGATGTGATTTCGTCATGGTTTCTCTGGACTGTGTGTTGGTTTAGTTCACAGCAGTGAACTTGTGTGTTTTCAGAGAAACAGGAATGTTCTGCTTCAAATGCAGAACCATGAGCTTGCAAACCAAGAACGTCATAATCTTTCAGCATGAACCTTACACCTGAATGCCAATTAAGAGCTTGTGAATTTACCAAGAGAGTTGGTGAAACTCTGAAGTGGTGGCTCCTATAAACAGGACACCAACACCTCTGTGCCTCACCCTTGTGTCCTTTCCTAATCTGTCTGCACTTTTAGTTGGAAACTCCTTTCTTCCTTTGCTTGCTTTAGCTTCTTCAAACCCTTTGCAGTATGCCATGTCTTTTCTTACTCCTTTAAGTCCCTGTTCAACTACTTCCTTTGAATGTTCGTGGCTAACTCTTTTGTGCATCAAAACACTTCTTTAGTAGCAGTTCTGCAAAGCAGAACAGCACTTGTAATTTACAAGGTGCAGGTTACAGAACATCAGCTCCTCAACTGTTGCATGAAGCTTTTTATCTGGCCACCAGGCAACTAAGCACACATGTCACCTCTGCTCTCTTTGCACATCAAACCTGAGGAGCGTGTATGCGTTGTCCATATCTGGGTATAATCTTGTAGGCAAGGGATGTGGTTACCAGTGTCTCTCCTAATATTCATAGGTATCTGGATGCTCCAGACGATTGTGTCTTGTTAGGAAGACTAATCACAGAATCTGCCACAGAGATGAGGCAGATTGGTTAACCTCAAAACACAGATCCTATCCATTCCTTATCAGCAGGGAATGCTGCCTTCAAGGGAAGATAACATAGGTAACATGTTGCCAAGGGATAAAAATAATGGATTCCAATCCTAAATTCCTTTTGATTTATCTCACCCTCATGGCAACATAAGGATGCAGAGTGTGACAACAATCTCAGTTTCTGTGAAAGGCTGTAATAAATGGCTAAACCATTTTGCTGAATGATTAAATGGCCCGTTAATTCCTTCACAGTTGTATTCCTTTTATTGCACAGAAATCTGTTGGGGAAATTCTGATGTGCTATCAGTAGCATAGTCAAAGGAGAGTGGGGCTAAGATGTGTCCCTCTGGGAAGATTAAAAATGGCTGTTTCCTTCAGTGTGTAAAATCTTAGCATATTTTTCTATGTCAAAGTTAGGGAAATGTATACATTACATCTGCATATATGCACATAAATACATTTATATAAGTCTAGCAACAAAAGAATAAACTTCATTTTTAAAGTGCTATTTCCTGTCTAGGGAGCTGTTGATACTGTGAGCTCTGATGATTGAAGAGCACAGTGTGGGGCTGGGACTGTGCAGGATGTCACCAGAGCTGTTTATGCTGCTTACATTACTACTGCTTTGAGACAATATTCCTAATGTGCTATTGGACTGTAGTTTGTTTTCTGAACAAACACAGTGCACTAAATATAGTATTTTCAATATTTCTCTTCAGGTTTTTTAGGATGGTTGATTGGCATGGCCATCAATATTCATTCTGATCATATTCTCAGAAATCTGAGAAAACCAGGGGAAACTGGTTACAAGATACCAAGAGGTAAGTAAAATGGTACAGAAATTAGTACAACAAAAAGAAGTATCTCTCATATAAGAAGAAGTGGAAAGAGCTTAGACTCTTCAGACTGGAGAAGAGAAGGCTCAGGGAGATCTTACCAAAGTTTATATACTATGAAGAAGAGAGAACCAGGCTCTCCTTAGTGGTGCCTAGTGACAGGACCAGAGGAAGTGGACACAAAATTCAAGCACATAAAATTATATCTGAATTTTTTTTTTCTTTTTAATTGCTGGGAGGATGGTCAAACACACAGGTGTGGAGCAGGTTGCTCAGAGAGATTGGAGGGAGACTTGAAACCACACTGTGATTAGTCCTGGACAACTTGTTCTGGCTGATCCTGCTTCAACAGTGCTGGTTGAACAAGATTATCTCAAGAGATCCCTTCCAATCTAAAATGATTCTGTGTGAAAACAGCCTTCTAAAGCTTGGTGTGTTTTAGAGGAGATAGTAATTTATGATATAAGAGGCAACTGGAAATAGCATTTTGTTTTCTACCATGGGAAGTGATTTTATAGTTTGGGAAACATTTTTTTCCCCCTGAAGGCAAATATTAGAAGGAATCTGTTTCATTATATCACTTGGCTTGTGCAAATCTTTGGGTTTCTTGACCAACATTGGCTATGTTTTTAAAAAGGGGTAAAAATGTCCCATTTGTTTCCTATTGCCCAACTTTTCAGAGAATCAGCAGGTGGGTGGAGCAGAAAGACCTAAATAATTCACTCAGTGTGGGGGCAGCAGGGAATGAAGAAAGTACTCAGCATGTGACCCATCTCATGTCCAATATAAGAGGGAGGTACCTGAAGTAATTGGAGAACAGCAACAGTTTTGAAAAGGGAGACACAGGGAAAGGAGGACAGAAATCCAAATTAATTTGGCATTGTAAATTCTGGCCTTCGGGGGAAAATGGAGAAAATGAAAGGCTTTCTTATGGAGCCTGTATTGAAGTGTTAAGGTTTATTATCACTTTTGGAAACAGGCACTCTTCTGGGTACATTACACTCACTGAGAGCAGAAAGATAATACCTCTGAATTCTGTTATCTCACTACATTTTTTTTCATAGTTGTTGCTTTTTCCTGGTTGTTAATTTTTTTTTAATAAAACTGTAAGAACTAAGATATATAAGGTAGACTGTTATTTTTCACCAAAACGTGAAAATAATTATAATTTTAATAGATGTAAATGGAAGTGCTCATGTGAAAAATTAATATGAACATACTGTACTGTGTTCAGTGTACAAAAAGGTTCTGAAGGAAATACGGTATTTGCTGTAAGATCAGGAGTAGCTGGTCTTTTTGATGTTGCTTATCCAGTTTAAGTGCTAGAATTTCACTTTTCTTTTGTCACAAAGGTAGTGTAATTAGAGCAAGGTCAAAACATGTCCTTTATTACATTTGCCAAATACTTGTTTGTTTAGTCCTACTGGTAAAGCATGTACTGAGGTGTTATCCATTTGTACATCAACTTTAAAATTGGGGTGAAATTCTTGACTTATAAAATTCCCAGCAGCTGAGTACCAATTGTTTATGCACAATTGTCTATACAATTGATTTAACACAGACTGCCAAATTTTCACTGAGTGTAGAGGCTGAAACAGCAGATCTGATGAGGAATGGGAACAAAAGTGCAATAACTGCAAGTTAGAGAACAAATTGGGAACTTTACTTCATAGTAATAGTGTTGTTCATAATTAATAGTATTGTTCATAATTAACTTATATTCTAAAGTACTTAAAGAAATGAAATTGTAGGCTAAGTAACCCTATGAGTATTTTCTGGGGCTCAAGGGGAGCATGTTTTCTATTTCTACGTATTTTAAAAAAGTTTTAGGATGTGATCAAAGAACATGTCATTAGGTAATTATTCACAAAGGCATGCACTTGCTTCTGATGCTAGTAAATCTGCTTTTCTTTCTTTATTTAAAGAGGAAAAGTGGAGCTACAAAAGGTCTGTCTTAGAATGAGGTCTGAAGTGTTCCTTCATAGTGCAGCTTGAACTGAAAAATGCTGTCTCCACTGCCTTTAAAAATCAAATAGAGACATTGGTGATATAGCTCCTACTTGGTGTACAGAAAAGGTAACATTGAACATCCTGACTAAAGTATTTTGAACTAACTCTGTCCTGCTTCCAGGAGGAATGTTTGAGTATGTCAGCGGAGCCAACTTTTTTGGAGAGATCCTGGAATGGTTTGGGTTTGCCCTTGCCTGCTGCACCATTGAAAGCTTTGCATTTGCCTTGTGCACTCTCTTCATCCTGAGTTCAAGGGCAAGACAACACCACAAGTAAGTGTTCCTGCCTTGTCAGTTCTGTTGTCTCTATGCCACACTGCATTTCCATTTCACAAATTATGCCTCATCCTACAGGGATGTTGCAGAGCAAGTCTTGTGAAAGAGAATGTTGCTGTAGGGTAGAATATGATAAAGAATACTCTGAGAAAACTAAGTACTGCAGAATTTCAGCAGAATAGTACAGAACATAAACACAGTACAACAAGGTGGTCAAAATAGTGTTTAAATGAAGATAGTTCATCCTGGATCTGTAAAAATTATAGGCAAGTTTAGCAATATTGTCTTAATTAATCAAATACTATCCCTTCTCAAACTTGTTTCTCTAATATATAATTTTTTTAAAATCACCCAAACTGTCTTTAACAGGCACACTTCATAGTCATGTCTGTATCGTATTGTCTATAATCAATTGTATGCACATTATGAAAACAGTTCTGATAGATGACATTTAATGAACTATCTGCTCTAAACATTCTGACTGTTCATGTACTGTATAGTGTGGCTTTCCTGCTAACAAGAAGGACCATAGTTTGGGGAGACTTGTTTCCTGAAAGGATTCTCATTAAGGAATAGCATGCTTAAATGAATTTGAGCATGTTAATTTTATTTTGGATATTTTCAGCTTCCTGCTTTGGTACTCATGTTGAAACTTAGTGGCATAAGAGGAAATAAACATTAATTTAAGGAGGAAATGGGTTGATAAAACATACTGACCATCTGTGAGGGCAGCCATGTCTATGTCTAATGGAGTGCTAAATACCTCCAGAAAGAGGTTTTCCTGTTCCTTGTTTGTAGGATGTTTGGGTCTGTCATACCCTCCCAGTGAACAAGTTTCTTCCACTATCCAGCCTGAGCCTTCCAAACCTGTTGCCTTTGACCATCTCTTCCTGTTTTATCACCTGCTATTAGTGAGCAGAGTTGCAGAGTATCTTGAGTTGGGAGGAGCATTGGAAGGTTGTCCAGTCAACTGATGTGTGGCAAACCACAAGGCTCTACCCAGTTGCCCGGGGCTCATCCAATTGACTTCTGAGTGTCTCCTCCTTGGCAGATGAAGCAAGGACAGGTTCTCCTGCCTCTCCTTGTATATTACCTTCTTCAAGCTCAAATTCCATGGTTGGTTTCCATCAATCTTAAGCCTTGATGGCACTCCTTCAGAACATCAAGAAAAGCTAAATGTTGTTCAAGGAAGTTTTTTACACTAAAGGAAAAATGCATGAAAATGGAACAGGGGTACAGGAAAAATTACCCAAGCAACTAAAAATAGCAAATCCATGTAAATGAAGAAACATGTTAGTGTAGTTTGTTTATTTTAAAAACTTAGAATAAATTACTGAAGTGGGTAAATAGGGTAATAATTGTATTCCCTAGATGCAGGTTGCACCTATCATGCATTGCATGTTTTGCTCTGTTTATTCCAGCTTTGATCTTAGAGTTGGTTAGCTATTGCTATTATGAATATCTGCACTTTCGAGGAGCCCAGGTGAATTTAGTTAGTTTCTCTCAGAGAAGCAGAGTAAATATTCAAAGATAGGAGTAAACATGCTTGTTATGAAAGGTGAAAACACAAATAATATCTGATAGTGCTCTGCATTTTTTTAAATTGTCTGGATTTGAAAATAGTGATGGTCTTTGAGGGGTGTTAGCAATAAGGCAAGTGCAATGTTCATCATGTTCAGTTTGGTTACCCAGATTCTAACTGAAGCCAAAGATGCTTCTATGCAGAATGGGACTCTCCTTCCAGTGTGTGAAATATCCCTTGCTTCCACATGAAGCCATTATGCAATGACAGGTTTTTGATTTTATTTTTTCTCCCTCTAAGTTTAAAATATGTAAATACTCACTATGTGTAACACCCTACTTTTTGAAAGAATGGGTTATTCCTTCCCTATCTCACCACATCTGTTGGTTTGATTTCCCATTGCTGGCAGGTGTAACTTAGTTTTGTTATATTTGGTGATTAGATATCATTAGGATGAGTGCAGTAAATGCCATTTTTCTATCCAGAGTAGGTTATAAAGGCTTTTTTTTGTAGGCAAAAACATGTATGGATTAAATTAAACACATTGTACAATTCTTTCATTTCCTCAGCAGTGTTTTGAAGACTCAATACTCATCAGATTTTTCTTTGTTTTTCAGATGGTACCTTGAGAAATTTGAAGACTATCCAAAGGACAGAAAAATTGTCATCCCATTTTTGTACTGAGCTGTGCTTTTAACACTTTGAGATGGATGCTTTTAGAAACAGCCAGCATTTTACAGATGCTGGCAGGTTAGCAACACACTCGGATCATCACTGTGGCAAAGCCTTTCCATCAGTGCTGCTATTACTTACTGCTTTTTCCTCTTAATGGTAACCCAGAAATCTGATGGACAGGGTGAATAGGAACAGAAATGGTTTTCCAGCAGTGAAGCACCTTCATAAATACATTAGGCAATGAGTCTGAATTGGCATCGTGGGAAGTACTGTGCACGACTTCTGATGCTTCTTTTTCTGCCTGTGAGGGCTTCTGCCTTTTCCACTCAATGTAGCCAAGCTGTCCTGAGGATTGTGCTGTGAGCTCAGCCACCCTCACTGCAGTCTGGATGGTGTGTTCTGCCTACATACACAAATAGGGTTGGTTTTATTTTTTTTCCTTACCTTACTAATCCTTTAAATTCCCCCCCACCTGCATTTCCAGAAGAGCTGGTGATGTAGACCAAAGAATTAGATGAATACAGTTGCTTTTAGATGCAACTAAAAGAGAGGCAGTGTTTTTCCTTCTCTTTGCACCCTTACAAATATAGGGCCACTGCACAGACAATATCTAATAATATTTACATAAAAGTTGTACTGCTAATAGATTATTATTGTCATCTACCTCTTAAAATTGATAGCTATCTCAATATGCAATATGTGTCTTCTCACTCTAAACTGGTTTTGGAAGTCTACTTAGGGTACTTAGGCCAATCTAGCATTGTTAACAATTGTGTAATGTTTTCTAACTTAATTTATGAAAAAACCTTGATATTTAAAAAAAAATTTCTTTCTATGCTGTTTTAAAAAAATCAAGTGTCTTCCTTCTTCTGTTGCTAACATTCTAGATTATTTTATATTCTAAAATTCAGGAGCCCTGTGTCTGTTCTCATACCCCAACCTTTTACTCACAAAGGACTCCAGATGGTTTCAAGAACACGATGGGATCCCAAGCATACAGATTTTCAATTTCTGTGTCTTTTGCATGACTGTAATAATAAAGAGTCTTTTTTGTTTGTTTGTTTTTTGGTAAAAACAAACCCAAAACAACTCAAGGGAAAACTAAAAAATAAGAAAAAAAGGCAATCCAACAAAGCCCCAGAGTGAACAACCAAATTCTAATAATTAAAAAAATTTACAAAACAAGCAAATGAACACTAACTAAAAAATCTTTCCACAAAACCCCAAAACTCTGCTGCTAATATAATTTGAAAATAAATGGAATTCGAACTTTTGCCAAGTGTCATCTGCTCTGTTTGCACTTCTGTGTTGGGTTATGTTCTTCAAAATAAATTAGTAACATAATTTTGCCAGATGCTAAGTTCTCCAGTAGGGTATTGCAGTAAGATTTGTTTTGATGAGCAGCAAAAATGCTCGCTGGAGAGAGAGGACGGTGAAGAGTTTGATTTACTCCTCAATGCTAAAATGGAGTATTTGACAATGAAAGTTTAATAGTTCACTTAAAGCGTATTCTGAAGATAATTCTAGAATCTTAGGATATCTCTAAATCTTGTCATTTCTGCAGCATTTTTTTAAACCTTCTTGTCTAAATCATCCACCTATCAAAATCTCTTTTAGTGGAAAAAAATATAGTATTCAAAAACTGCTATCTACCTTATGTAGTTTATGGTGAATTAATATATTTTTTGGGTTTGCGTGGCCAGATTTTGGTGATGGGTGCTCCAGGAATGACTTCTGTAAGAAGCTGCTAGAAGCTTCCCCCATGTCTGGCAGAGTCAATGCCAGCTTATCCCAGGGCCAGCCTGCTGAGCCCATCATGAAGGACAGTAATGTCTTTTTAATAACATATTTAAGAAAGAAAAAAAAAAGTGTTCTTGGGCAGAGCAGCATCTATGCAGATACCAAGTGGAGGAGTGGGAGGAGGCACTTGAGGTGTTGGAGCTGAGATTCCCCTGCTGGAGCTGTGCCCCTGCAGGCCATGGAGCACCATGGGGATGCAGAGACCCACCTGCAGCCTGTGCAGGATCCTCATGCCGGAGCAGGTGCCTGCCTGAGATGAGGCTGAGAAGCCATGGGAAGCCTGTGCTGGAGCAGGGTTGTGACAGGGAGGTTTGGAGAGAGGAGCCTATGCTAGGGCAGGTTTCATGGTGGGACTTGTGACCCTGTGGAGAACTCATACTGGAGCAGCTGTGCCTGAACTGCTGCACCTTGGGAAGAGCAATCCACATTGGAGCAGTTCATGGAGAGCTGTTGCCCACAGGATGGACTCAGATGGGAGAAGTTTGTAGAGAACAATCTCCCATGGGAGGGACCCCATGTTGGAGCAGGCAAAGGCCTTTTCTCCTTGAAGAGCAGGAGAAACCACAGGTGATGAACTGATCACAGCCCCCATTCCCTGTCTCTCTGAGCCTTTCTGGAAGAGGAGGTAGAGCTTGGGAAGAAAAGAAAAGTGGAGGGAAGGTATTTTTATTATGCATTTTACTTTTCATTATCCTGATCTGTTTTTGTTAATAGTAAATTAGGTTGATATGACCAATTTGAGTCTCTTTTGTCTGTGGCAATATTTGATGAGTGATGTCTCTGGTAGTTATGTCACCCCATGAAGCTTAGGCTTTGGTTTCTTCTCCCTGTCCATTTGCGGAGAGGAGTGACAGAGTGGCTTTGGTGGACACCTGGAATTTGGCCAGGGTCAACCCACCAAAATATCTTATTTCTTCAGGGATATTTGTTTAAAAATCACTGGTCAACCTACCAGTAAAATATCACCTTTCTGCAGCACTTTAGACTCTAATCTAACACTATTTTTTTTTCCTTTTTTGAAAAGGCAAATGTTCTTTTAATACTAAACAGTGAAAGAAAGGTCAATGTTTATTACATCTCTATATTCAAGAGCTGTAGCTCTCTAGTCAGTAGTCTTCTATCATAGTTTCCAGAAAATTTGAACAGATGTCTTGATTTTGCTCTGCTACTACGCTAATAAATATTTATCTTGCCTAAAAGTTCAGTTGGTTTGCCCACGTTATGTTAATTTATGGTTTGCCTACAGTGGGATAGGATCTGAAGTGTGATAGTCTGATAGCTTATCCCTGTTCTCTCTCGTTACAGAAAAGGAAAAGCTGAGGTCTGTGGGCTGTGAATGTCAGCATGTTTAGAAATGTTAGTTAATTGGATTAATAAGAAAAATCCCAAACCCAAGCCAGACGGTTTTGTTCTTTGTGTGATTATATTTTACATTCTCATTATACTTCTAAAGCCTTCCCCAAGTAAAGTACAGATTTTATTTGAGGCAGTTCTTAGAGGGCAGGTCTTATGAGGAGCAGCTGAAAGAGCTGGGACTGTTTAGCCTAGAGAAAAGGGGGCTCAGGGGGAATTTTACTACTCTCTACAACTGCCTGAAAGGAAGTTGTAGCCAGGTGGGAGTTCATGTCTTCTCCCAGGTAACCAGTGATAGCATGAGAGGAAATGACCTCATGTTGTGCCAGGGGAGGTTTAGATTGGCTGTTATGAAAAATTTCTTCACTGAAAGGGTTGTCAAGCCCTGGAACAAGCTGCCTGGGGAATGGTGGAGTCACAATCCTTGTAGGTATGCATGTAGTTGTGGCACTGAGGGAGATGGTTTAGTGATGTACTTGGGAGTGCTGGGTTAAAGGTTGGACTCAATTAACTCTGAGGTCTTTTCCAACCTAAAGGCCTCTATGATTCCCACATTTGAAGACCCAGGTACATTGGTGAAAGCATATGATCAACTTGGTCAAATGCTAGAATTGTCCTTTGTTTAAACAATATCCCACTCATTTGCCATAATTTGTAATCCCTTTCCTTTTCAGCAGCTCTGACGCATTTTTCTGTTGGAAAATATCTAACACTGAAACATTTTTCTCAAGAATATGTAATGTGAAAATGAACTCTGTTCTGTGCATTCCAGAATGCATACTTGCTATTGGGTACATATGTAGCTATTTTTAGTAGAGATGCTTCTAGTCAGATTGATACGTCTTTCCCCCAAATCCCTTACTAATAAAACATGATTTGCGGTGTCTTGCTTGAATACTTTTTTTTTCTGTTAATAATCCCCGCTCTAACTTGTGGAGATTGACCAAGGCTTTTGTACCAACAATTTTATTATCCTAGCTGAGATCTTGGGGAGTGTAAAAACAAGATTGATTAGAATGACCTAGATGCATGTGTGAACTTGATGAGATTCATTCAGAGCAGTTATTAAGAGTCACAAGGTAAATTTCTCTAGTGATACATTCTCTAGTTACGTAAAACAAAGTATGTAGCTGAAATGTTCTACACTTGCAGTTAGAGCAAAGATTAACATAAGCATAGGTTGCTCACTTGGGTTCCTCTCCTGCTGCTTTTTTCACTTGAAAAAACTGTAGCACCTGCTGTTTCAACTCTTTTAATTGAGATTCACCATGATGTTATCTTTTGGAGGAGTGAAGATAGTGTACAAACTTGAATTCTTCCAGCAGACAGGAAATCCTGAGTGCCTAACACAGTTTTTACATATTTTTTTGTGATTGAAATATATTAATAACTTTAGTATGAGACTGTTCCAGTCTGTTTTATGCTCCTCAGTTTTACCAATAACAGTTGCAGCTGTCAGGGCAGCCTTTCAAACACACATCCATTTCGTGAGGAAAGCAGATCTCAAGTTAAAATTGCACCACTTTTTGCAGTGATGCAATGTATTTATCACCATCTATGTGCTCATGTGCCCACACAAAAATATGTGTAAGCAAGCAATTAAATTTCTGTTGCAGGACAATTGAAGGGCAAAGCCTTAACCAAGGTTTGCATCTGAAAGAATTGCACAACTGAAGCTTGCTCTTGAACTTCTTAAAACAACATGTTTTGTACATCTCTTGCTTGCTTTACCATGTCTGCTTAAAAATCAAAGCTAATACATGATGCATTGTTGTGTACAAGAGGGTAATGGAAGCAATAGGTTATTTGTTCACAGAGATGAAGAAAACCTAACAATTGGTATCCTTTGGTGTAATGCTTCCCTGGAGATGATGCCTTACCAATGTGCTAGGAGTGTCTCAGTGGTGTTATTTGTCCCTGCTCCCTCTTGTTTTGGAAATATCTGTCCAGTTTCTGAGAGGACACGGATGGCTGGATACAAAGAACTAGCACTACCGAAGCCACATGTTCCAGCTGCTCTGGGAGGAAGCACTCCATTTCTCTTGGGCTATTGAAAGGGAAAACCACAGCAAATTTAGTTATAAACTTCTGCCAGAAAAGAAACAGCTGTGTCATCTGGAAATGGGGGCTCAGACATTGAGCTGCACTGTTCAGACTAAAGACCAGTCCAGTGTAAGCAAGAAAAACCTCCTTCGGGTACCTGCTATATTTGTGTCCTGCTGGCTGCTTCATGGGGCTGTAATCTAACATTTTTAATCCATATTGGTCTGTTGGTGAACAGTCCAAGAGGCTTCCACTTATGTCCCCACTCCACATGTTGTTTTTGCTGCAGAAGACCAAGAGGCACACACTGTGCAGAGCCAGGGTCCTGCTAATGT